TGGCTGCTCTGCCACTCCCCTACCCCCAGGACAATCGAGACCTGGGGATGGGGGAGCGCACAAAATCTCCTCCCCACACAAAGAGCACATGGTGGCTAGACAGAAATGTTGCTGCTTTAAAACAGCCGGAGATTTTCTCCAGCCTCCACACTCCCTTGGGAGAGCCGATATAGGAGGCAAGAGAGTTGCGTGCTCCCCCTGTTAGGGAAGCATGCAAAGTCTTAAAACAGCAGGCAATTCTCTCTAGGCTGGGGCAGGAGGGAAGACTTCATGTGCTCCCCACCCCTCAAGCCAATGAGGGTCTGTGGGTGGGAGAGCAGAGCCTCCTGACCTTGCCCCTTCTGCCCAAAGGCCTGCCCTATTTTGCATGACCTGGGGCCACTTCAGAAATTTGTGACGTGTCCCCCTTCTAAAAATTATTGCCCACCCCTTCCCTAGCTCCCTGGACAACTCCAACGCCCAGGCTTCATAATGCCGGAGCTCTCTGTTCCAAGAGCTCATTGGTCTAGGAAGTCCTTGACCAGAGATGTTCAGCCTATACCAGGGTACAAAAATATACTGGGAAAGAAAGCACAGAAGCAAGTGAAGAAACAATTCTAAATTGTATCACAGAGTCTCTATGAATAGAAATTCCACGCTATAAGAATACAGCAGTAGGGATATAGTACAGACTACCTTGCCAGGCCAATGATATTGAGTATGAAATGCTCAGGGAGATTATAGAGGATGATGATGATGATGATAGTAATAATAATAATAAAATTTCAACTATTTCCATATTGGCTGGGTATATGTCACTCCAGGACAGGATGCAGAGACAAAGTTTTTGACAACTTCAATGACTATTTCTTGGAGCAGCTAGTCCTGGAACCCACAAGAGAAAAGGCAATTGATTTAGTCCTAAGTGGAGCACACTACCGGTTTCAAACAGATGTGATAAAACAGTAGGCCCAATAAGGTGACAAAGGGAACCATGTGTTACATCAGATGAATTTTTCTGCACTGCTGTTTGATTTCTGCATTGCTTATTAATTCAATGTTCTGTAGTTCATGTGTTTACAGTTTGTTATAGCAAGTAAGAATGCCATTAAATTTATCAATGTACAATTTTGTTCACAAAATATATAGCTCCAAAAATAGAAAAAAGTCCTACATCTGATTAATGAACTTACCAAGTTATCAGTGTACATACTAAAATGATCTCTATATCAGTTTTATCAAATGTTTTCTTTTAATAGAAAATTTACAGATTGACACAATCTGATATATGGTCTGATTTACAGTTACATAGTTCTGGGATACACTTACAAAGATAAAGGATTTGTTATAGTAGGATCATGTAAATATGCCTTTTATTACCTTCAACAAATGTGTACACTCTAAAAACACATCACATTTCAGAAAG